TTTCCCAGATGCTTGGAGCTGCCGCAGCTGCGGTTCCAGTCAGGGGTTAGTCTGGCACTTTCCCAAGAAGGTGGTGAATGGGGATTATTTTTTTATTTAAGGACTTACAAATGAAGTTAAAAATAGTGTTCAAACTGTGTACATAGAGATTGTAAAATAGAATCTATCGAGTCTCCGTAGTAAGTTGTATGGACACTGGGAGGCTGCGTCCTTGGTGTTAGAGGAAATACACGTACCTGTGGTTGTTAATCTAAAGCAGTCACAGCCTGGTTTTCAGAGACCAAAAAATTAAAATGCAGTTGTATTTACCATTGACTTGTGAATATTACACTCCTGGGATTTTTTTTTAATCCTCACTGGAGGAGTGAGGATATTTTACCATTGATTTTTAGAGCCAATGGGAGTGGAGGGAGGGAGAGAAAGAGAAACATCAAGGTGACAAAGAAACATCAAGGTGACAGAGACACATCGATTGGTTGCCTCCCACACGTGCCCTGACCAGGGCTGGGAGCTGGCCTGCAGCCTGACGGGTGCACAGGCGGACGCTCTAACCAGAGTCTCACTGGCTGAGGCTCTCCTGGGATTTCTGAGTTCTGCTTTTCATTTAACCAGCTCTTCTGCAGCCACTGGCCACCGCTGTGACAGAACTAGGGAAAGCTTGATTTTCAAACGGTGATTTAACTACCTCGTGGTTTCTGTGTGTCACTTCTACACCACATGTTTAGGATAAATGTGCATATCGAGTGTTTGGGTGATTTTTAGGATGACTATTAAGTATATGATTTTTAAAATCATGTTAACCCACCAATCAAATGAAAAGGGGTCCAGGCGAAAGCGTTGCAACTTAATACCGTATTCTTTTCTCCTCAACACCAGCGTCGGAACTCGGCGCCTGTGTACAAAAGCCGTGTCCTGGTCCTGGCGGGGCCTGTAGACGACCAGTGTTTGTTGTTTTTTGTCAGTCCTCACTGGTTCCAGTTCGAGTTCCTGTTCTTTCCTTTGGTGAATGTTTGGGGTTAGGGGCAGCCTCCCAGTCCCAGTAGCTCCTAAGTCCCCCGAGGTTCAATGTGGGCGCGGAGGCTGCTGAGAGCTGGGGCGGTGCTCCCCCACCTGGCTGAAGCAGTGCGGGAGCGTTTGCCTGTTGGCACGCAGTTAGTGTGCTTGTGTTCGAATGCGGACCTTGGTTCCAGGACCTGCTTTCTCCTGCGTTGCTCTGCTGTCTACGGTGGCTGTGGATTTGAACCCAAGTGTTAATAAAGGTTGGTGTTCCCGCCCAGCTCTGTGTATAGAAAACGGAATTGTTTTGCTCAGACCAAGAGAGAATGCGAGGAAAAGCCCCAGTGACAGTCATGTTTTGTTGAAAAGCCGGAACTGAACCAGCTGCCCTGTGACAGGCGGCGGGGGATCTTCAGTGGGGGCAGCCGACCTTTGCTCCCTTGTCATTAATGTCCAAATACTGAGCCCCATGAACGGCTTAGTTTATTCCCGCTCCCTGGAAAGGACACTGAATGGGGTACCTGATCCATGTGAAGGGGTCCCTGAGGGCGACTGTCACCGGTGCAGCTGAGGTGGACGTGAAGCCCTCGTCTGGAGTCCGTTCTCCTTTGAAGATGAGTAAAACGGGGCCCTTTCAGAGCCCTCCCCCCGTGTTGCGGACACGTGCAAGCCCACAGCGCTGCATTCGATGTGTTTGCAAACCAGGTCTTCCCCAGCCACCGAAGGGGCCTGTGCCTGGAGCAGTCCCGGGCCTGGGGCTGAGAACGGTTTGCGCCGGTGGTTCTGAGCCTGCAGAGGCCTCGTCTGCACCAGGGCTCCCTTGCCAGGGGCTGAGGCAGAGGCTGCCGGGTTTCCTCAGGCGGCGGCGGCAGTCGGCCCCAGGAAGACGGCCAAGGGCAGGGGGTCCGTAACGTGCTGTAGGGCAGTCAGAAGAGGAGGCAGGAGGGTTATGTGCTTGGCCCTAAACTCAAGGTGAGGCCTTCCAGGCCAGTTCCCCCAGGCTCCTGCGAGGGGCTGCGGGGGGCCGTGCTGTCGTGGGCAGGGCGGCTTCTGGCTGGGACTCTGTACCAGGCAGACTCACCCCGCAGAGGGAAACCTGGGCCTGACAGACTTGGGAAGTGGAGGTCAGCGCGTCTGAATTCCCCGGGCAGGCGGGCCAGCTGCAGCCCGACCTGGGCCCCTTCTCAGCCAGGTTACCGCTGGACCTCGGGCTGCCAGTGCAGCAGCTGAAGATGGAGCTCGGTGGCACGTCCCAGAACCTGCAGCTGGGAGACCCCCACAAATAGGTGTGACCCCTGACCGCTGTCACCTCTGCTCATCTGACAAAGTCAGGAAGAGGCGGGCTGGCTCCTGGAGCCACTGCTGGCGGCACAGCCTCGGGAAGGCTAACCCAGTGTCCAGGGCATCTTTAGCTTTGTGTCGATAATGAGCACTTAATATTTTCATCGCGTGCAGGGAAGGCCCCTCAGAGCCTGGAGGCCGCAATGGGCAGCCCCTGGTCTAGTGTTCCTTTTCCTTCTCTGTTCACTGGCTTGTCCGTGCCATCCCCCGTGTGCAGGTATCTCGGGCGAAGGCATGCTTGTCCTTTGAAGCCCCACCATGTGGTGCTGGCAAGTCCTGTGGCGCCGTGGACCCGGGTCTGGGTCTCGGAGCTGGGAAGGGGCAGCCCTCCAAGCTGATCCCGGAGCCACGCTGCCAGCCGCGGGCATCTGCCCGCCCTCAGCCTCCGCACAGCACCGCCCCGCTGGGTAAGCAGTTTCACTTGGGGAAAGGTCCCATGTTCCTTTTGCCGCTGCTCCGTCTCCCCTGGGTCACCATGTGAACAGCCACCCTGGGCCTGGCCCTCCTCTCTGGACAGCGGCTGGGAGGCAGGCCTCGGGCAGCTGGCACTACTGCCTCCGGTGCGCCCAGCATGACGTCTGCCTGGCTCTGTCCCAGAGGGGCCTGTATTTATGGTAAAGAGAATGAAGAAGGGAAGCAGGTACTTAAAACAACTCTTTACTGTAAAATACAATACAGATAAAAGTGCAGCCCGGCTGGGCGTGGCTCAGCGGTTGAGCATCGACCTAGGATCCAGGAGATCGGGGTTCGATTCCCAGTCAGGGCACATGCCCGGGTTGTGGGCTGCAGCCGATCAATGACTCTCTCATCATTGATGTTTCTCTCTCTCTCCCTCTCCTTTCCTCTCTCTGAAATCAATATATATTTTTTAAAAAGTGCAAAACCTCCTTGTAACCACTGCCTAAGTCGAGAAGCCAATGTCCCCAGAAGCCTGTCCACGGTGACAGTGCCCTGCCCGACAGGAGGCACTGCGGCAGGTGCACCACGCCCTTCATCCGGATGCCTTTTCAGCGAGAGCCCGCATTGCAGAGCCTGCGTGGGGACGCCAGCACCCGAGAGGCTGCTGCGCGCTGTGTTGCAATCGTCTCATCGCTTTAGTGGGGACGGGGCACCATCCTCCTGGCTCCCTTGGCAGGGATGGGATGAGATGAGGCAGATTCTGTTCCCCTGCCCGGTGCTCTTGCTACACACTCCTGACACTTCAGTTAATGCCAATCCCCTGGGCAAACCTGCGAGGAGAGGGACGGGGAAAGGCCAGGGGAGCCACCGAGTGTGTGCCATGTGCTGCTGTGAGCCCCTTGCCATGGTCGTGAGCTGTGTGGCGGGACGAGCAGTGTTCCTGGGAAGCTTCATCAGGTCTCCGCACAGGTGGAGATGGAAGACCTGAGGCCACGGAGAGGAAGTTCAAAGTGGGCAGCGAGCTGGGGCAGGTACAGGTGGGGCCTTCCCGGGCCTGGGAGCCTGCAGGCCTAACAGCCCCCGACACCTCCCCAAGGCCCGTCTCCTTGGCCACGTTTCCCATGACTCAAGGCAATAGGACTTGGTCCACCCAAACCACAACGGCCTTGGAGCCCATCACAGCTCTACTAGGGGCAAAGCAGGCCCCACGCGTGGGAAGCCGGTCGAGCCAGTGGAGCCAAGAACCAACTGCCTTCTAAGCAGTTTCTTTGCAAAAACGTGGCCCGGCTTCAGACGGCTTACTTGGGAGCACACAATCCTGTCAGCTGGGAAGTGCCTGTCACTTGAGAATGNGTGCAAAACCTCCTTGTAACCACTGCCTAAGTCGAGAAGCCAATGTCCCCAGAAGCCTGTCCACGGTGACAGTGCCCTGCCCGACAGGAGGCACTGCGGCAGGTGCACCACGCCCTTCATCCGGATGCCTTTTCAGCGAGAGCCCGCATTGCAGAGCCTGCGTGGGGACGCCAGCACCCGAGAGGCTGCTGCGCGCTGTGTTGCAATCGTCTCATCGCTTTAGTGGGGACGGGGCACCATCCTCCTGGCTCCCGAGGCAGGGATGGGATGAGATGAGGCAGATTCTGTTCCCCTGCCCGGTGCTCTTGCTACACACTCCTGACACTTCAGTTAATGCCAATCCCCTGGGCAAACCTGCGAGGAGAGGGACGGGGAAAGGCCAGGGGAGCCACCGAGTGTGTGCCATGTGCTGCTGTGAGCCCCTTGCCATGGTCGTGAGCTGTGTGGCGGGACGAGCAGTGTTCCTGGGAAGCTTCATCAGGTCTCCGCACAGGTGGAGATGGAAGACCTGAGGCCACGGAGAGGAAGTTCAAAGTGGGCAGCGAGCTGGGGCAGGTACAGGTGGGGCCTTCCCGGGCCTGGGAGCCTGCAGGCCTAACAGCCCCCGACACCTCCCCAAGGCCCGTCTCCTTGGCCACGTTTCCCATGACTCAAGGCAATAGGACTTGGTCCACCCAAACCACAACGGCCTTGGAGCCCATCACAGCTCTACTAGGGGCAAAGCAGGCCCCACGCGTGGGAAGCCGGTCGAGCCAGTGGAGCCAAGAACCAACTGCCTTCTAAGCAGTTTCTTTGCAAAAACGTGGCCCGGCTTCAGACGGCTTACTTGGGAGCACACA